TTTTTCAATTGAAAGGTCCTGGGATTGATCCCTAGCTCCTTCAGCCACATGTCCAAGAGTCTGTCCTTGGGCAAGACGAACCGAAATTGCTCCCGATGCCACTGACCTATAGCGTCTGAATGAGTATCAATGGGATAAGTTATTACTGATGGACAATTTGTATAGCAGCCTCTGCTATCAGTGTGTCAATGTTGTGTGATGTGAGCTGCGGTGTAGTAAGTGTGTTGAGTAGTCAGAAGACTTGAAAAAAGTTGTACAAGCTCAAGTCCATTTACATTCCTAGTTTATATTGAATAATGGAAAATACTTTAGGGAGTCTGTATGTTTTATTGAAATAGACCAGACGCTCTGTGCGTTTCCTTGTCTGACTCGATGTATTCTGTCCAGTATGAAGCGTGCTTGTGCGGACTCTGGCTCTGGAGCACATGGAGTATGTGGCCAGCAATACGTTACAATATAAACCATAAACCTTCACAATATGACATCATGTTCAGCAAAAAAAGAGCAATACAACAGTCTAATATGAACTTGAATTAGCCTCGGTTTGTATCACCGACAAAGTAGCAGCTGACAGACATTTATTATTTCAGATGTTGACACGTGAAACAGCAGGCAGTTTGGGTTCACACAGCAGTATTTTTGTATTTATCCAAAGTCAGTATAGACCTCCACTACAAGGTCAGTCTGTAAAATGGCCTCAAACTGTAACAAATCTTCAGCGACTCGCTCTGCCGGGCACATGACCGCACCAATGACAACACAGCACATTCAGGGACAATGAGATGTCATTTATAGAATTGCACCCTCGGACAGCCGCAAACAAATGATGCAGTAGTTCTTTGCCCTGCACTCTGTTACCAATGACCCTTTTTTTCTCTCACACACAGACTAAATTGAACAACAACCTCGTTTGCCACCTTTTCGACTCAGCCTCCATTTCATCGTTTAACCAGCGGCTATAAATCTGTCACCATGAAGGTGAACATTAGCTCTTTTTGCTGATGTGCAAACACCTTGCAGATCAATTTTAGGTCCATTTGAGCCAATATAGAACTCGCCCTTATGTTGCTCTCACACTTCACATTTGAGGGAATTTCCTTCAACCTGTCACACCAGCTGCCTTGAATTCCATGCAAACTATTATAAAGCTAGCAATCATGGCCTCAGTGGAGGTTTACTTTCAGAAGGTGATCGAAAAATCCCCCTGGAGAAAGAAATCCATTTGGTTGTTTCGTGTTTTTCTTCATCTGGGGGACAAGTATCTATTTGACATGGACTTGAGCTTATTTAGCCCTGTGGCTACTCAACATAGTGTTCCAATGTTTCTTTTGTGCCCAGCTAGCATACAGGGAAACAAATACATTTCACTAAAAACTGACAAGTGTCTGATAAAGTGAGGATGTCTTACTGATGACACTTGTGTTGCTTAGCCTCTAATTTTATACATTATCTTAAATTAGACAAAAGGGTCAAAAGGTAGCCTTTCGCTCAAACAAAGGTATAAAAATCCCCAAATTAAAACTATAAAATAAAAGAATAAAAACTAAAAGAAAAGAAATAAAAAGAATTAAAGTTATTCAAGTATACCTGAGTGAATTGGCAAGTGACAGTCCTTCATTAGCTGGTAAACTCAATGGTTGCTAGCTTACTTCTACACCTACTTCTTGTTAAATAGCCAAATTCTAATCAAGGAATTTTTGCAGTTATTTTTTGTAAGCTGCAGTTTTTCAAATTGTGAAAAGAAAAACTGCAATGCCTAAAGTGTCCACTTGAGGCCAGCTTCAAAAACCCCGGAAGTCACATTCAACCCCATTATTATTATTATTTTTTTTTAAAAAGCCTCTTTTTACATCGGAAATAAGCATCTTAACAGCCTGGTTTGAAAAACGATTTGGGGCGGGGCAAGAGTTGTTACGTCTAATCTGTTAGCTCATAATGTGTTGATTATAGCAGGGGGATAAATCTAGAACAATGCCTCATATGAAGAAAAAGAAACGTGTTGGAGTAGAAGTGTACAATAACAGAAAGTTAATACTCCAGTGAAATACAATTACCACAAAATAATACTTAGTGAGGTACTAAGGTTCTTTAAAAATGATTGATATTATCCAAACACATCCGTCTAAATGTTATAACTACACAATGCTGACAAGAATGAGTGACTGTGTATGAGACAGGCGGCCATGGTTCGAGTCCCACCTGTGGCTCCTTTGCTGCATGTCATTCCCCATTCTATCCCTTATTCCTGACTCTATCTACTTCTTGTCTCTCTTAAAAAGGCATAATAATCCACCCCACCCCACCCCTGGCCAAAATAATAATATCATTGTTGCAGCATGCCTCAAATAAAAAAGTCAGTCAAGCATGAACAAATCTGATGGGTCGACAGGTATCAAGTTTGCATAAGAAACCGTCCCCCTTTGTTCATGTCGACCTTGCATGTCCTGATGACGTCTTTTATAATCTCAGAGGGCGCACTACACATGCAGCTCCTGCCTGTGATATTCTGACATCTCACACTTTTAATTCCTGTAGTCAGCGGTATAAAAATAAAATCTGCACGAAAGGTCATGTTCGCTTGCCAAAATAAACGTAATTACACCAATAATCCGAGAAGCCCGATGAGGTTTAGCCAATCTATATGTCAATGAGGCAGGCAGATGAGAGGCGGGAGGCGGCAAATAAGGCGTAAACGCAGCTTGTAACATTGTACGCTCACGCCATATGACACCTGGCCTCTTCCAGTAATTACAGTACCGCTCCTGCATCCCTGTTTGAAATTTGATCATTGTCAGTCAATGATAAAACACTCTGCCAGATGGTTTATGCAGTGTGGCCTCCGCTTCCACACACTTCATTAGGGGAGAGAGAGTGCAGAGGAGTATGCACCGCTGTGTGGAGGGATGGATTAACCGCTGCGGCCGGCTCACTCTCCTCCACTCTCCCGAGGAGCACAGAGAGGCTTACGGTATTCCTGTTGGGCTAGCACGGGGTCTTCACCTTCTGTTCATGATCCCTCTGTAAGAGCCTTCTGTTGGGAGAAGAGAGTGGAAGGAGGTGCGGGGGGCGGGAGAAGGAGAGGATTTAGAGACAGTGATCTAGTGCACATTCACAGCTGTAGTTTGTTTTTGGAAAGCAAGAAGGATAACAGACTGTCTCTCTGCTTGATAAGAGCAAATATGCATTCAGACAAGCTAAGCTATTGTCAAGTTAAACTATGAGCTGTAGTGGAGCAGCACCCTATCTCTGTTCTCTGCGTTTCACTACATTCAGCTATTTCCCTCTGATGACACTCTCTGGGTGGGATTCTCAAACGCTGTTATCAAAGGGATTATTTCTTTCTGCTGTGAAATTGTAGAAAACTAGGGGACCTGAAAAAAAAATACCTTTGCTTCTTAACACTTCCCATCCGTGGTTTAGTGGTGCCTGAAGAAGTGGGTTTACTCTTAATTGGGCGGCTGTGGCTCAGTTGGTAGAGTCGGTCGTCTCTCAACTGGAAGGTCGGGGGGTTTGATCCCCAGCTCCTGCAGCCACATGTCTGATGTGTCCTTGGACAAGACACTTAACCCTGAATTGCTCCTGCTGCTTAGTCGGCGACGTATGAATGGGATTAGTTACTTCTGATTGTCACTTTAAATAGCAACCACTGCCATCAGTGTGTGAATGGGTGTGGATTGGTTGGTGTGACATGCGGTGTAAAAGTGTAGTAAGAAGACTAGAAAAGTGCTATACAAGCTCAAGTCCATTTACCATTTACCTTTAGTTTTACCCCAAATGTTTTTTTAAGTGGCCTGTCCAGCAGAGGATGAACTGCCTCTGTTATGAACAGTGACATTTAGTCAGTGCATACTCGCTAATTAGAGACAGAGTAGGGAGGGTCAACTCTTCACTACCTTCGGAAAAAATTGCAGCATACTACTGAATATAGTTAATCAATCATAGTGTGAATCAGAGGGGGATTTATAAATGGGTATACCCTATGAGGACTGGAAAATAAGCTGGTCAACTCTGTATGCACTGCACTACACCACTGTTTCCCATTGTGAAGAAAGAAAAATCTTACAAATCTGGACACAGTTTGAAATAAAACAACATACCGTATATTACCCTATAAAAGACCCTTCAGCTAAGACTCTAGGGAGGAGGGGGCTGGGGTAGACATGTCAGCTCTCTCCAGTGTTTTGAATTGGGCTGCAGTACCCATTCTAAACACTAGGTGTCAAAGTTACATATTGCTCCTTTAAAATAAATATAACACATAACTGTGGTTGCCACTAACATTCAAGCCAACAGATATGAATACAGACTGTCCAGTGTCCACCCTGCATGCATTAGAGAGTAAAGCCAAGGGTTCTAGCAGAGAAAATATATAGATAAATGTTTATGGTCTGACTTTATTTGATGTTGATCACTCCCTTGGGCATTACTTAGCACCCACATTGTGCGCCACTTAACAAGCAAAATGTAGTTGGACACACCCCAAATCACTATGTGCCACATGTTTAAGCCAACGGACTGTACACTATTAAAATAGGGCCCATGGTTTTACCCAGTTTTTGGCTTGAAGTTTGTCCAAATCTTCACTCCCTGTTATTTTTTCAGATGCTGATCAACACAGATGCTGTAAAATGATAAAAAAAAAAAAAAAATTGCCAGATCCTTTATGTTTATGTTTTGCAACCCGGGACACAGTTGTTCAAAATTAACATTTACAACATTTTAGCTCTTACTCTTGGCTGAATGTTGGAGGAAAGTAGCATCTGTGTTATTAGGATGAATTAAAATCCATATTCAGTGTAAGGGCTCTAACATGGCAGAGTGGAGCACAATAGAGATGTTTGAAAGATGGTGTCATTTGGAAGGTGTCAATGTTGTCTTGAGTTAGAATCTGTCCATTGTGTAACATGCTTTGAAAGGTGAGAAAGTTGACCTGAAACCGGTAAAAACTGCTGTTGTGATAAATGATGTATAATGACAACATTCTTCTGTTTCCTTTCCAGGATGAGTGAGCGATACACACTAATCGGAAGTAAAGGGGCTCTACTTGTAATGGTGCTGATTATTAGTGTATGGGAGATGACCGTACCAACGGAAGGAGCTACGGGTGAGTATGAAACAAAACATTTCATCATCTTGCTCTTTGAGTGTATTATCATATGTCCATTGCTTTGGCAATTTGAAAGCTTACACTTTATTGAACACTTCTTTAGTTTGGTATTAATGTCTAAGGTTAACCCTGTCACTTCCTGCTTCTGACTTTGTGTTATTTGGGCACATCGTCTCATGGAATCAGGGGCTAAATATAGTTTCAGGAAATGTTGTAGTTACTTGTTTTTGTGATGCATTATGGCTATATCCATGGTGAGATTCCCTTGACCCCTCTCCATTACCAACCAGAACAACATTAGAGTGTGAGGCTGAAACGATGTTATCATAAGGGATTTTCTTTTCCTTTTTAGATAAATTTTTGGGCTTTTTGTGCCCTTAGTGGAGCGATAGGACAGTGGACAGAGTCGGAAATCAGGGAATGACGTGTGGGAAAGGAGCCACAGGTGGGACTTGAACCCGGGCCGTCCGCCTGGAGGACCACAGTCTCCATACATGGGTTGCGCGCACTAACCACTGCACCACCAGTGCGCCGGATTGAACTGCTTTGACTGAGGTCTTTTTTGTGACAAATTGTTAACTGCAGGATTAAAAAAAAGAAACATTTAAGGCAGAGTCAGTAGCCTTTTCTGAAAAACTGAAAACAGACTTATGCAAAAGTAATTTTGCTCTATCATCACATATGGGCCTCCATGCATAATACGTTTGTGTTGGTCGACCTGAGAAGTTTCCGGACAGGGAGTTGGTGTTTTCCCCCAGCTAGTGACAGCGCGCATGTGAGTTTAGGAGTGGATACAATTCAGCGACTGGACGTGAGTGTGTTAGTCAGGTGTGGACATAACTATGGCAAGGAAGAGAAAATATAATCATAGTGAGGCGAAACGCTAAGTGGATAAAGCTCGTTCCAAAACGTGGGCAAACCTTGTGTTAGCTTTCACCTTTGGACGCGGCGTTGGCCTGCTGGTGGTTAGCTTGTGCTAGCATCCCGTGCGCTTCTAGGGGCAAGGAGCCCATGAGGAGGGGCACAGTTTGAATGTTGTGTTCACAAGCTGCAAAGAAGCCTGCTGAGGTAGGCTAACATCCTGTGATCAACAACTGTGAATACATCTATTGATGTGCAGTCTTTCCCGTTTCAAAGGAGTCTACTCTCGTCTCTGTTTCCAAAGCTTGTAAAGAGATCAAATTCTGTTCAGAGGAATGTTCCTTTTTCGATCATTTCGTTTAATCATTGACAAGAAGCATCCTTCACAGCTCAAGGACACGGAAAACTGTTTCACTGTGGGAAAAAAAACCTAAAAAGAAAGAGACAAACTGAAAGAGGGGCAAGGCAAGGTCCTGTTAAAGGTCCGTATATAACCACAGCACGAGGACGAGCAGCTACTGATAGTGAGAACACACTCATTTTGAATCTGCCTCGCATAAATGAACGTCGTGACAGGGAATCTGTGACGGCAGCAGCTTCTGTTTGTCTACATTAGACATGCAGGCGACACACATTTCTGTGACCACTGAAGGTGACATCAGACAGAGTTTTAGTGTAATTAGTTGTTTGTTTGCGTCAAACAACAGAAGAGTGTCAGCAAGATGTGCGTCATGTAGTGTTGAAGAACTCGAAGTCGGTCTTGGTCTCGAGACCCTTTTTTGAAGGGCACGGTCTCAAAGTCAAAAGCATTCTTACTCGGCCTTGTCTCGGCCTCAGACTGGGTGAACTCAGGATTTTAAATCAAGATCGGTTAAGACAACCACTGACATGCTATTTTTACATGTCATTACAGACATTAGAAGGAAAACACCTCATTCTAAAACAACAAATAACTTCAATTCATTCACAATTAGATTTTTATCCCCCGGTTACAGCCACAACCTTCCCAGTTTTACAGTCTAACTAAGTGACACGCCCCCTGCACACAAGATGATGATTATTCATTGACATTTATGCTCTTGGTCTTCACTCAGGCTCGACCCCGAAATGTCTCGGTCTTGGAGCCCTCTGGTCTTGGGTATGTCTTGGTCTTGGTTAGTGTGGTCTACAACACTATCTTTATGTCCATCTTTAAATGACTCTTGCACATGCCCACCCCAGCTTTAATGCAAAATGAATTGAATCATATTAATCACTATAGGGCCAGCTGAGTGTGATTTATGCATTGACACAAGCACATTGTAAAGTATAAAGTCTTAATCACTGCATTTGAAATTTACAAATTAAGACTAATACAGATGTTTTTGACTCTGTGAAAAGCAGCTTTGCTTTTCTCTATTCTCTTCTTTTTTTTTTTTACCATCGGCTTTCTATTATATTAAAAATGAAGGGCCATCTTGAGATATGACCTCATCAAGTGTTCTTTTCTTAGACTCTACAAAGCTCCTCCAAAGCCCAAAGACGTGTTTTCACAGGCTGAGTCACACTCCTCACAAGTAGTACACTGACACTGATGTGTAAACTTGGAGTTCCCTTTTAAGGATGCTATTTCAGTAGATGTGGGGAAAAGAAAAGCTTTGAACACAAATAGGAATATATGTACCTAAATGTATCTTTTAAAGTGTTTGCAAAGTGAGACCAAAACTCCAGTTGTCCCGGGACCTTCATGTGCTCAATGGGATCATTCAGGCGGCGGTCCCAACGGGGATCCAAATCAGGTCAAAGCTCTCCTCCATGTCTAGACGAACAACTTTTCTCTGCCTACAAGCGTGCGGAGTCGCCATCTATCTGTTCACTCAGGACTTTAGCAGTCATAAAGGATTAATGTGCGACTTTTTGATCCAGTAGATGTCACCCTTGATTATCAGCCTGAAACCAAAACAACTTGAGCTGCATTGTTGTGTTAGCATGCTAATGGTAGCTCTCTTTAATTTGCTCCTAGCTTCGCATTGCAAGTAAATTTAGACAATATGGCCATTACCTAAAAACGCTTATGTGACGTTCAAATAAGCAGTGAGTACAGTATGTTATTCTTCTTTTCTTTTGTCCCTCACTTAATCAACTTGGCAAGGGGATGAGCCCGCCGGCCGATGAAACATGCAAAAGTTCCCTTTGTGTGTCAAACAAATGGGGGATTTTTTTTTTCTTTTCCAGTTTGAAACGAATATTCAAAGACGCGTCTTTTAAGAAGTTGACTACCTTATGTAAGTCAGTGAAACACATCTATGTTATGTAACATACTGTAATAAACCTAAACATCATTTCCCTAAACTAGCCAAGTGGTTTGAACGCCTTAACATAGTCATATTTGTAATTCTGGTTCACACACTGTTATTGAGAGGTATGCTTCCCCCACACATAGATAGGTCCGAATTACATTGCTGGAGAGTCGACATGCCCAGGGGCCCAATGTCTCATAATCCGTCTATGAGCGCACCAGAGCTGTTTGGGGTTCATTGCCTTTGTCCAAGGGCACCTCAGTAGTACTTATGGACTGACTTGGTACCTCTCTAATGACTCTCTGGTTCCCAAGTCACTACAGACTGTATACAGTAAAAGCCAACGTGGATTTTGGTCAGCTCAGCTCCTCTATTGAGCAAACAGCAGCAGTGCATGCATGGAAGCTAGGTTATACATTGTAGCATTGTAATGGGTTACGTTTTGCAAATTTTAAGAAAAAACGAGCTAGCAAACAATGTCAGGGTAAATGTTAGCTTTATTGAAAAAAAAAATCACAGCGCTTTACTTTTTCCGCTAGCAACCCCCTTTGTTGTCGCAGCTTGTGTAGCAATACTAGCAATACAACCCCACTTCAAAAATACCAAACTAAGTCTTTAAACTGATCAAGTCGCACAATTGGCCTTTGGGTTTGGGGGCTGCCGTTGTTGGGCCAGACCTGAAATATTTCCCATCAAGCTCCTCACTATTACTAACCCTCCTATCACTAGCAGTGTAGCCATGTCTGGAACACTATCGCCCCTAAACACTCAACCTAAGAAGCAACTTATTTTTTAACCTCTAACCTGACTGTGGAGCCCTGCATGTGTCAAACTGTTGTCGGAGTGGTCGCTAGATCCTCATATTTTGAAGCATAAGACCACAGACTGTGCTGCTATATTTGTACGGTTGGGTTAGTCACCTATTTGACTTGTTCTATTTGCTCATAGTGTCAATCTCTCCATCCAAATCAAGAGTGTCCCCTGCGCACAAATGCAAGGAAAGATGCGAGACAAACATACCGAGGATTATTCATAGTGGCTGCCACTTCTAATAAGAGGTTTTTTGAAAGGATTTTCTCTGTATGTAAGCTCACAAATAAATATGTCACCGTCGTCAATGGGGGAGTAATTGGATTGAAACAGCTATTTTGGAGGTATGACTCAAACTCATCTCCCCTCGCCTCATTAAAAGTGTTGTCGAGTCGTCACTTGTAAACCCGGGGAGATCAATTATGGCAACTCAGCAACATTACAAGCAGCGGCCAACCCACATGTTTCATCTTTGGGAGTCCCACTGACAATACACGGCAGCAGGTAATTGGTGGTGCACGGGCGATGCTGCTGCCTGATAGGATGTCCATTTGTGAGCTTGATGGAAACTCTGCATACCTCTCCTCTCTTTGTCGACCAATTAGATTGGAACGCAGCACTTTGATGCGCTTGGCTTTGATTGGCAGCGATCCCCACTCAAGGCGCTCATCATTCCAGCAGGAAGTGGATCAGAATAATCTCGCACACATTCATTTTCTCTCTGATATAGCCACTGCAGCCCCCCCTGATTTCCCCAGGGTGTTATTTCTGTTGCTGTAAACCTGTTATCATTCAAGGGATGAAATGAACCCCCGAATTTGTCCAAAATAGAGAAAATGTATTTCTGCTAGAGAACACAGGGAAGAAGAGAACGAAGCTTACTGTCTGACAAGCAGGCCAAATTTAGTTCATCTAAGCAGGCAGACAAGTTATGTACGAACACACATTTGAGCTTTCACTTCTTTAAATAACCAGTTTGTGTCAAAAAAGCAGAGATCACATTTGCACCATCAGACATGCTTTTCTGCTCTGACAGCTATGTAAATT